CGCACCTGAGGAAAACACGCACACGCACACACACACACACACACATATGAGAATGCGAGAGACACTCACTTCACACCAGAATGAGGCTGAGTGTGAGAGACCAAACACCAAAAACAGATATGTCTAGTGTGTTTAAAGGTGATAAACGTAGAGCTCACGCACAAGACAGAAAACAGTGTATATATGCACACTACTATAATTTCACGCACACACACACACATATATATATATATATATGTATAAAATACACTATGCGATGGAGGAATATTTGGGATGACAGATCCCATTAATGACGTGCCAAACCAGCTTCCATGAGAGCAACCGCTGATTTTAAAACCCAAAAGGTCCACCCTGAGTTTATGGCTTCTGATTTGCATCCGAGGTGAAGCAGAGATTTCACGCCACCCATTTCCATTACACAGAGCAGATTCCTTTCCACGCATCATATGACATCCAATTTAGCAAGCTTGATAAGATTTACAACTGCTTCCATGAGCTACAGTGAGATCCAATGTATGACTTTAATACAAATAAATGTTAACTGATAAGTGAGAGGTCACACCTCCTTCACTGAGACTGACAAACACAGAGGCCACGCCTCCTTCACCAAGACTGAGAGGTACAGAGGCCACACCTCCTTCACTGAGACTGAGAGACACAGAGGCCACACCTCCTTCACTGAGACTGACAAACACAGAGGCCACGCCTCCTTCACCAAGACTGAGAGGTACAGAGGCCACACCTCCTTCACTGAGACTGAGAGACACAGAGGCCACACCTCCTTCACTGAGACTGACAGACACAGAGGCCACGCCTCCTTCACTGAGACTGAGAGACACAGAGGCCACACCTCCTTCACTGAGACTGACAGACACAGAGGCCACACCTCCTTCACTGAGACTGACAAACACAGAGGCCACGCCTCCTTCACTGAGACTGAAACACAGAGGCCACACCTCCTTCATTGGGACTGGTAGGTAAAGAGGCCACACCTCCTTCAGTTAGACTGACACACACACAAAGGCCACGCCTCCTTCACTGTTACTAACAGACCCAAAGGCCACGCCTTCTTCAATGCCACTTAGAGACTCAGAGGCCAGTGTGTGTGTGGTGTGTGTGGTGTGTGTATGAGTGTATGAGTGTGTGTGTATGAGTGTGTGAGGATATTCTCTTACTGCAGTGGTTTCTCTCCTGTGTGGATTCTGCGGTGGATGCTCAGGTTGCTGCTGGTGCGGAAGGCACGAGCACAGAACTCACAGATGTAGTCTCTCTGATCTATCCAACACACACACACACACACACACACACACACACACACACACACACACATCCATAACTTCCACATACAGCACATCTAATTCATCACTACTACAAGCTAGCTTACACCATACATTGATCTTCCGAGCCTGTTCGATAGCTCTGATCTCATTTCACCCTCAGAGGAATTCCACCACAGGGATAAAACATCGATGTGTTTCATTCAGGATATTAATAATCATGATTATTACATACTTAACTGAATATTACTGACTGTTTTTGGCAAGTGTGTTAATTAAAAAGACAAGCAAATAATTAGAGAGGGCTGATGAGTGGGGATTTATTCAGGTGTATAAACGATACGTGGAACTTAAGGCTTTAAATACAGCTGGTAAAAAATAAGAAATGTATTATGCGATGTGAACAAAAAAATGGCTAAAAATAGATTTGGTGACATAGTAGTGTTTCAAAACCTCTGGTGAGATAGAGACACAATGACAGCAGATACAGCTTGCGGTCACTTCAGCGTCCACAAATGCACAAATAATTCATGCAAACATCCATACTTGAGGTTTCACTCCTTTCTCACCAATGTGCTTGTGAGAACGAAATGTCTTTGCACTGGGGTGATGATGATCATTTAAAGCTTTCAAGAGGCAGCGTGTATGCCTGTATTCGGCATTTTAAATAATCGGACTCCTCGAATAGCACTGGCAGCTGGTAAACACCTAAAACGTGGGACTATATCCTCTTGCATTGATTGCAAACTATTTTTGACAAACTCAGAAAAGCCAGCAGTGTGTATAGTGTGTGTATATTGATTGTAGTAAACAAAGTAGCTAGCCAAGTGTGAAAAATGTAGCTAGCTATTTACTGTGTAACTTAATCCGGAATATACTGTTAGTAGACGGTTTTTATTCGCAGTGACTCGTACATTTCATTTCAGTACCTACCTACCTAAGCTATTGCTGCATCTGGATAAAATTCACAACTCAACCTCGGACTGAGAAAGCCCAAAGACAACACGGAATCCCTACGCAGGAACTCGGGACGGTCTCTTCAACCCCGAGTTCGGCAAGTGACGTCAAATCAACATGGCTGCTCACAGCATGAACAGTACACACAGGGGCACTTCTTACCTTTAAACGAGTTATACGGTGTATACAAGCATTTGCTTTAAATCTATAACACTGAATATACAGTGCGCTGATTTGAGGAGGTAAATATACGCACAGCACTCATTACAGTTAGCCAGATTGTCGCTTACAGAAGACGAACGTGGAGGCGTTCACGTGTTTTTTTCTCCACTTTGTAGCTCGAATGCACAGATGACATAATTCCCACTGTCCGAACTGGCGACCGGGAAAGCTACTGTTCATTACCGGATATGACACAGTTATCCTTTAGATTGAATAAAGACAAATAAAAAATATTAATCATTACCCTCAATTTTGAGGGTCGCTAAATGTGAGTCAGCCGTGCCGTGAATGTGCACGTGTGTATGTTGATTACAACATACACACGTGAGTATGAAGACAATTAGTAAGACAAAAAAGGAAAAAAAAGAAAATCTGGCAGGAATCTTTTTGTTCAATTTTTAACGAAAACGTGTACACAGGTGAAGATGCTGAATGAGAACGCACAACGCTCTGGTTACTAGGACAGAACCCTAAACTCTGAACTGCAGAAGTCACGATGACTTCCGGATCTTACCGCTGTGCAGCTTCTCGTGCTCTTTAAGGTGCTTCTTAAAGTTGAACGATTTTCCACAGGAGGGTTCGGAGCAAGCGAAGGTCTTCTGCTGGAGGTGCTGGTACTTCATGTGGTGCTGAACGCAAAGAGATGTGATAAATGCTTCACATTATGATAAACACCTAACCTTTAATAACTGTTTACTATACAACAGTCGCAAAGTTGGACTAAAAGCTATAGACCTTAATTATATGATTACAGCATTACAGCATGACCTATGCCAGTTTATACGTATATTATGTAAGGAATAAAACACTCTGTGTTGCGCTATTACAGGAAACCAATCACTCATGGCATAGTGTGATGAAGTGTAGTTACTGTTTCCACCCTGAGGTTGATTATTTTTCCTATAACAGCACATCCTGAAGGGTTTTATTCCTCTTATACAACAGCAACGTACCAACGACCTTTTTTAATTCATTAAAGAACGGCACATCATAATTTTTTTTAGCTGTTTATAGTTACATTTATGTCCACAAAACAAGTTATTTCCTGTTCTAACGTACGTCACAGCAGCTGTAAACAGTTGTTTCATCTCTTTTTGTCTTTCTTTAAGTTAATAAGACAAAAAAACTGCACATTGTCATGTTACCAAGAAGCTGCAGAAAGTGTCTGGTGGAATCTCACTGACCAATCAGTCAGAAACTAGAATTTCACAGCGCTGTACAATTCTGGATTCTGATTGGCCAGAAAGTGTTGATTGATTTTCCATAACGGCAGCCCTGCCAGTAGTGCAGCTGCAAACCGCAGGTTTATATTAATGCTCTCGCTCTGATGCATCATCGTTTCTATGGTAACGGCTCATTCACAGGGACTTGTATGGCTGACGCTCCACACAAACTAAAGCTAATAATAAACAGATTTTTTAAAAAAAGTGATGTTATTTAACAAAGAAAGATATGTAACCGTCGATATGGTGAAGGTTTCTGTAAGGAGATGTTTATTTAATGTTTACGGAAGGAGTCGCCAGTGTCAGTGCCTTTGAAACACGGGGAAGTCGGTATCACACGGTAACATGACAAGTTGCTTTTTTTTTGTCTTATTAAATTAAAAAAAAAAAAAAAAAGAAGTAAAATTAAAAAAAAAAAAAAAAAACTGTTTATAGTTGCTATAACATAAGTGAGAACAGGAACTGACCTGATGCATGGCTGTTTCACAGCATTAAGCATAACTATAAACGGATAAAAATTGCAAATTGCTGTGGTGTAAGAGGAATAAAACACTTCAGGAAGTACTGTTATGGGTAAATAATCAACTTCAGAGTGGTGACAGTAACTCCAGTTCATTACACCACTCCATCGTTGATTATTTTCCTATAACAGCACGACACGGAGTGTAACAGAATATAATTCCCATCCGCCGCATGCTGGTGGCAAAAATTCCCAGATAACACTCACGTTGAGGTACTGACGGCTTGAAAAGATTTTCCAGCAGCCGTCAAACTCGCAGGGTAAAATGAGCTTCGGAGCTGGTTTTCTACAAAATGCAGGGACAATGATTTTATATTCAATAATGGAAAAATATCAAAAGACTAATATTACCAGTGAATGGTTTAGTGAAATGTAAAGTATTAAACTACGGCAACTACAACGAATTCTTTTTTTCTGCTAATTATTTTCAAGAACGAACCTTTTCCTTCTGCCGCTTATCTGCAAAAGCTCGTCTTTCTGTGAAGGCTGTCTGGAAGGTAAATTTATACGTGTTAAAATGAATCCATGTGTGCTTAATGACTACAAACGCTGTAGTTTGTAGTTTAAGTTTGTAGTTTGTAGTTTGTAGTTTAATACATATGAAAGCCACCTGTTGGTTTTTCTCCTCGCTCTCATCCTCGGCTCCTCGGTTTTGCTCGTCTCAGGAACATCCTCTCTCCTCTCACGCTCTCTCGTGGTTGAGTTTGGTATTGCATCCCATACAACGTCCCTGCTGGAGACAGAAAGCTCTCTGTCATACTGCGTCTGTGACCCTGTGACCCTGCATAAAACCCCTACGGGGACAGTCGTGGCCTAATGGTTAGCGTGTTGGACTTATGAACCTGAAGGTCGTGGGTTCGAGTCTCAGGTTTGGCAGGGATTGTAGGTCTCTTCCACCCTCAATACCACAACTGAGGTGAGCCTTGAGCAAGGCACCGAACCCCCAACTTCTCCCCGGGTGCCGCAGCAAAAAAAAAAAAAAAAAAAAAAAAAAAAAAAAAGGCTGCCCACTGCTGTGTGTGTGTGTGTGTGTGTATTTGGATGGGTTAAATGCAGAGCACAAATTCCGAGTATGGGCCATTAGGTGCTAGAGATGTGAGTAGGATGGCTTCCACTTCAAACTAATTTAAATGTATTGCATTTACTTTGATTTTTATACTGAATATAAATAATAACATATACAGAAATATTTATCGCTTAAAAAGAGATTAAATACTAAAATTTAATGTCACATCAGCTTGTTTGTGATTATTAAAAAAAAAAAACCATATCACATGATCTCAGAAACGCATACTGTGACATGATTTATCACTATATCAATATTATATCGTCATACCACCCGGACCTATATTATATTATATATTAAAATACAGAATGCAAACCCTGACCAGGATAAAGCAGTTAGTGAAAACGAATGAACGCACATGCTCAGCGTGCTCGCGATGTTAACGGACGTGGTCTTTCTCTCGAGCTTCATATCTGACCGCTTGCTCCCGCTCACGTGAAAGTGAAAAGCGCCCACTCCCATGACCTTTCTGCTGGGTCCCACGTGATCCCATCCCTCAATATACACATCTAGTGTGTGTGTGTAAACTCTGTCAGAAGTGGAGAACAAGCCGTTAGATAGACATAAGCAGTTAACTAGGAAGTAGGCGGAGCTTCAGAAGTGGCATTACTCCCAAACTTTTGCACTCGGACTTGATCATACACAATGCTGGATCGATGAATTTAAAGTTAAAGTGAAAATAAGGCTACAAACCTTTCGACAGAGTCCTGAATTTCAGCTCGGATATTCTGACAGTCATCGGCCTCGGCCTCGGCGCTGCCAGAAAGACATGCAGTTAGTGATAAAGACATAAAAATACAATTATGTGCTGTCTGAATATACATATTCTGTACATATAGCCTTATACAGTACATTATATACTTCTTAAATGCATTAATATCTGTATACTACTTTAAGGCATTAAAGTATTTTGTATCTTAATTTTAAAACCTGAATAATGCTGTCAATGTAGAAGAAGGCAGCTGACAGGAAATTATTTTATTATACAGCATAGAGTCACTTTTCGTCTGCCAAGACAAAGTAAGTACAGAGAGAAGAATATATGGGTAAAGGACAGAACAAGTCTTTTTTGGCAGTTTGTTTTGCAGAAAATTATTAATATGCAAGGGAAAAAAGGCAATTATAGGAAGTGTCTTATTCCTCTTTTACTACAACAATTTGGCAACAATTACAATTTATAATTAATTAAAGGAGAGTCATTCCCTCACCAGCTAATAAGGCAAGTTAATAAGGCAAGAAATGCAGCTTGTTATGTTACCGTGAAACCACAAAGCGTAAATTTAGCGCTACCACTGACTGTTACAAAGTGCTGACACTGGAGACTCCTTCCAGTCCTGTTTTCTCTGCCGTACAAGACTCTCTCTCTCTCTCTCTCTCTCTCTCTCTCTCTCTCTCTGCAAGCTCTTACTACAGAAACTGTAACGGAAGAGAAACCTGTGATCTGCAGCTGCACTACTGTCCGAGCTGCCGTTATAGAAAACTAATCAACCCCTTCTGACCAATCAGAATCCAGAATTCAACAGCGCTGTATGATTTAATTCCACTATTACTTCTGTGTGGTAGGACAAAAGAGTTTACGGGAAAAATACTTATTAAGAAGAGATATTAAAATGATCTAAAGTGCAAAACTGGGATTTAAAACAATAACATTAAGCTTCACATAAAATTAACATTAAATACAGTTTTATGTTTTTAGTTCTTTTTTTTTTTTTTTTTTTGAAGCTATTCACATCATTTATATTTCTATAAGTTGACATGCCCTGTGTATTTTGTGCTTATTATTGATCCCAGCAGTAAAGATTTAAACATCTGTACAGCAAATCTGTACCTGAACTTTGGGGGCAAGATGAGAAGAGCAGCATCACTTCCTTCCTGCGAAGCTGCATCCTGTTCATGCTGCGCTGCATCGCTGTGACACAAATATTCTAAGAGAAGTACAGAAAGGTCACAATTCTTAAAAAAAATAAAATAAAATAAAATAAAATAAAATCACAGAGTAAATTTTTAAAAATGATAGATATCTTGCGAGTTACCTGCTTCCTCATTCTCTCCTGAGGAGGATGGGGCGACTTGCTCTGTCTCATTGCTCCGTCTGAATCCAGCAGTGTTTCCATCAGAGGCGGATTTTCCTCTTGCGCTCCTCCTCCTGCTCCTCATCCTGCACACCTCCTCCTCTCGTTTCACTCCTTTCCTCTGTCGTTCTCCGATCTTCCTCTGTCCTGAACGAGCAGCGCTTCCTCGTTCGCTCTTCTCTCCATCGCCGCCCCCCTGGGTGTGTATCGGACGCCAGGTGAACGCGTGTCCACCTTCACAGACGTACGTAAGGCACAGTTCTGCTCCAGCTGCTTCAGAAGACCTTGTGGAAGTTTCGGGATCTTCCTCCAGCGTTCTCTCCTTCACTTCCTGGCTGTGTGGGTCAGACTGCAGACTCGGGGTCAAAGGGCACTGCTGTCCGTGACTGTGGACCAGCAGGATCAGCTGATCCAGAGAAGCCACAGTTACTGGGATTACTTCCTTCCCATCGCCTACACGAGACAAAGATATGTTACGAGAATTCTGACTTCTGAGCTGAAAAACGGTTCCTTAAGGGTTTCTTGGCTGGTTAACGGTTCTTGCTTTATAAAGTAATTTTACTTGGAACCTTTTCTGAAACCATCTGTTAAGAGTTTAAGAGTTTCCCCTTCTTCTGGATGGTAGAAAGAATCTTATTTTCTAAAGCTGTACTTTTTTCTTTGAGTTCAAATACTCAAAAAAGGCAGAATTGTCTTTACAGTACCTGAACACCTGCTGCACACTTTGCAGGAGTAACTGTAAAACAAACAAGGAATAATAATATAAATCTACCTGAAGTGTTCACCCAAATGTCACATTTATGAAAGCACATATTACAAACATTACAATCTTTTCAGCGCTTTGTAGCAGAGGTTTTCTGACACAGGAATGCGTTCGGGACGGAGGACTTGCCGGTTTCTCGGTAACATGACAAGCTGCATGGTTTTTTTTTTGTCTTATTACCTTCAAGAGAGTAAAAAAAAAAAGAGAGGCTAGTGAGGGAACGACTGTTTATAGCTGCTATAAGGTAACTGCTATAACGCTCCACAGCATTAAACGCAACTATAAACGAATAAAAAGTCTGACTGACGTTTAATTAATTAAAATTGTTAATTGTCAGTGTTGACAAAGAGTAAAACACTTCCAGATGTGCAGTTACAGGAAAAATAATCTGCTTCAAGGTAGTAACAGGTGGTAACTTGTCCCAACGCCCAGATGTTTTTTTTTTCTTCCTTTTTTATAACATCGCGACACACGCGGAGTGTTTTATTCCTTACTGAAGACTTTAGTTTCCTGGGACTTTCTATTTCTATTACAGCTCCATCTTTACCTGTCCAGCAGGAAGTGTGCAAGCTCTGAGTGGAGAGCGAAACCCAGCTGGTCCTTCAGCTTACTCCAGCTCTCCGGCCATGAGCCGAGTCGCACACGGAATTTACTCCTTCTAGCGTCCAGCTCCCTACGCCGCTGCCTGCGCTGAGCCTCTTTACTCGACGCCATGATGGAGAGAACAAACAAACGCACTGTAGGAGAAATGTGAATAAAGCAGATAGTTAATAAGGCCTCAATGCTGATTAGAACAAAATCTGTTGCCTTTGATACTGTTGATCACTCTAGATAATAATAATAATAATAATAATAATAATAATAATAATACGTTTTATCTATATAGCACCTTTCCACAGCTCAAGGACACTTTACATTCCAAACTAATAGACATAGGAGAAGAATAAACAAAGAGCAATGATAGAAATAGTTCAACTGTTAGGAAAAGAGCCAAAGTGTTTTAAGTTGTGATTTGAAAGTCGATATAGAGGGAACATTTCGGAGGTTCTGAGGGAGTGAATAAATTTTGGAGTTTTGGAACCAAATGATCTGCCACCCACGGTGGAGAAGCGGAAGAGTGTTACAACGAGTAGGCTTCAATCAGAGGACCTGGGAGTCTGTGCTGGGATGTAGGGATGAAGGAGCTCAGATAGATACGGAGGAGCAAGGCTACGGAGGGCTTTAAAGGTCAGAAGAAGGATTTGGTCATTCTAGGGTTGATATTCTTATTTACTGAGAAGAGAATTCTCATAATAATTACTCTTGGTGATTCCATTTCTTTAAAATATATTTTAAAAAATGGAGTTTCTGTCTGGTGTTCCACAGGGATCCATACTCGGCCCTCTTCTGTTTTCTTTGTAAGCACTGCCATTGGGTCAAATCATTAACAAATATGGCTTCAACTTCCATTATTATGCAGATGACACACAGCTTTACATATCCAGCATTACTAAAACACCCTGACCCTACGTTCACACTAGCAAATGACAGGTTACTCATGTCGCTTGTAGTTTTTCTCTTTTGTGGGTGTGGACTTTCCAGAGTGTTTTAGTTCTGATAAGAAACGCTACTAGCTATATATACAGTATATAACTTCCAATGCTAGCTAGCTAAAAAGAATGAAACAATACGCTAATCAGTGAGAAAACTGGTTGTTTGATTTACGTGCACGCTAACTGTACTAGCTACACACACTCACTACAGCCCCCAATGATCTCTGCTACTCCGTTCCAAGCTTTATTTTTCTTCATAATGTCTCTATACACTCTTATTGAGAGGTTGTATATGACGGTACGAGATAAAACCATGGTTATACATTCTTCTTACATATTCTTTTGTGTAAAACAGGGAATTAATTGCCGGTAGAAACTAAAATTGTCAGTGGGGAACTGAAGAAACGGCGGACCACATCAAACAATCGTTCGAGATAATTCTT